CCCTCTCCCCTCCTGTCCATTATCCAATCCCAGCCTCATCCTCTGTATGTGCCCTTGGAGGGAGAACTGAAGGCAACCTCAGATTAAAATTCAGACCTTTCATGTTTGGACCAAAACTATGGAAAGTTTTAGCTTCTCAAAAGTCTCTCAGTTTGTGAGATTACAGAAAAAAGACTCAACTCTATTATTTAATATTACTTGTTTCAGCAATAGTTGGGAGAAGACCTCTGGTGCCCGAAATCACCCTCTTCTCCAAGTCTCTGTAGAGCCCTGCTATACTTTTCTGATTGTGTTTGCATCTCACTTATCCAAGACCTTACAGCAGACTTCTCTTTTCCATATCTTTAAAATTTTCTTTTCCATTCATATTATTATTCCTGGCCTCTTGCAAAGACAACCTTGTGCCAAGGCAACTCGGCCTGCAGACTTGAACTTCTTGCAGGATTTACCTCTGTGGGCTACCAACGAGTTGTTGGTGAATATTTTTGTGTACTTTGCTCAAAGTTATTTAGTGTGAAAATGGACCTACCAGGAGTTAGACTTACATCTGCCAATGAAGACCAAATGACTGCAAGGCATTCCTAGGAACAGGTACACCTTTTAAGCCTTGTCCTCCCTCCTCAACGCATCCACTTGCCACAGGTCTAGTTTCCATTTGACCCTAAGCAGATGTTTGACCTTTTGGGACAGAGGTGGGTGGTCGAGTTTTTGAGATTCAGTTCAGGGCCTCTGATAATACTGCTCCTGTCTTTCCACAGGCTATCAAATATGTACCTCTGGGTCATCCCTTGGACTATTTGCTGATTAACCGTTCTAATTTTTTTTCGCACGTGCACAGTTTATATTTTATAAGCATCATCTTTGAATTGTGCAAGTCTATTCACCATCATTTTGCCCTGTTGATCTTTTGCCTTTTCTTCTGCACTGTCTCTATCTTCAAGAGCCTGTTTGGCAAATGACCACTTCCATTGTTCACTCCATAAGCCAGTGTAAGCTGATGAGCATCCCTCATTCCTGCAGGTCTCTTAGCGGGTACCTCAAAATGCCTGGTCGCTGTCCTCTCATTCTGGACTGACTCTGCCATCGATCAGCCACTTCTCTCATTTGTCCGAGCTTCCTCTGGTCCATCAGTCTACTCCATCGACCACCTCTTCTCTTCTTACTTAGGGAAGTCTGTCGCATTGTCCCTCCAAGTCTCTTGCGCATCTCCCCCACGCCCTCCCGCACCGGAGTGTCTGTCGGTCCGAGCCGCCCCGGCCAGCTCTTGGGCCTCGACTGGGCTGGGCGTGGGTCTGTCCCGAGCCGATGTTTCCATCCATCTCCGTTTGCTTCCAATTCGGCAGGAACTTTACTCCAGTCGAAAGCGTAAGGGCGAGTGAGCGGGAGTGCTGGTCGAGCCACCCGCAGCGGGCGCGGGGCGCGGCGAGGGGCGCCGGGCGGGGTGGGCTTGC